AGATGACGGCGGAGATGAATCCGAGGAGGAGGTGGACGAGGAAATTGAGGTTGAAATCGAAAAGAAGAGTGTTGACATCAAGGAAGTCAATGCAGCACCAGAAGAGAAACCAACAGCACCAGTGAGAGAAACCAGCGGCCAAGATTGTGAAAGAAGGAGAGAAGGTGGTGAAAGTCAATGAGGTGAAGAAGCCGGCCGGACCGGTCAGAACTGGGTCCGGTCCGGCGCTTCTCCAACTTGAGCGCAGAGAAGTGAAAAAGCTTCTTCAGAAGCCGCCGGAATCCATTTCCTTGAACTTGAAGAAATCACCACCTCCTGTTATAAAACGGGCAACCGTTTTTTCAAGGGTCCCCAAACATAATTACCCTCATGTAAGTTTCTTGATTTCTTTTGAATTCTACATCTCATATTTCTCGATTTATGCTTGTCATCCTTCCGCATTAATCTTCTCTGTATCGTTCCAATTTATCATTCTTTCTTGAGAGAACTCTCAATTTTTATATTGCTATTTTAGTGATTTGGGTTTTGTTGGGATTGCTTCTTGGTACTAATCTTGACCTTTTTTTTTATCAATTAGTTTCAGCTTCAAATGAGCGCCACAGCAAATTCCCAGAAACACACAGCAGACTGCAAAGTCTAGGTGAGTTTTAATTCCTAATTTATTTCTTACTCTACGGAGAAGGGATTCGAACTTTGATGTAATCGGGAGAGCATAGCGTACCTAACCAACCGGCCTAATTCACGTTTATTTTCATCGTTTTATTTTCTCAGTGGATTTGATTATGTGGAAAGATATATCAAGATCAGTTTTTGTGTTTGGAATCGGAACATTTGTGATACTATCATCCTCCTACACAAAGGATATTAACATCAGGTCGGTTAAATCCTCAACAAAATAAATTAACAAAAAAAAATTAAATTCTGCATTTCCTTCCTCTAAATCTAATTAATCTTACTTAATCCTTATTCCTGCAGCTTTATTTCTGTAATATCCTATCTTGGGCTTCTTTATCTAGCTGCCATCTTCCTCTTTAAGTCCATTATTTGCAGGTAATTTACTTTTCACTTTTATACGCATGCTAAGATTTTTTTATTTTTTATTTTTTATTTTTTTACCACCCTTTTGGTTTAATTTGGAAAATTAATATTTCAGGGGAGTTTTAGAAGTAGATAATACAAATTATGTAGTGGGTGAGCAAGAAGCAATTTGGTTGCTAAAACTGGTTCTGCCTTACTTGAATGAGTTCCTGCTGAAGCTCAAAGCTTTGTTCTCTGGTGATCCTGCCACCACAATTAAGGTGCTTTTTATTTTTCTTCCTTCCCTTTATTTATTTGTTTATCTATTTTTATTTCGACGCAAAAGAATGGTGATATACATTGTATATTTTGCAGTTGGCAGTGCTGCTTTTCGTTTTGGCCAGGTGTGGCAGCTCCATTACCATTTGGACCATGTGCAAAGTGGGTAAGTCCCAATTTTTGTTCTCTCGTTATAAGTTGAGCTAGGTCAGTTAGTTAGGATAGTCATGTCGTTTTTTTGAACTTACGTTTAAATCTTTTTCCTCGCACATTAGAATAGTTTATAATATGTTAAAGGTGGGCTAGGTCAGTCGGTTTGGATAGTTCATGCCGCCCCTTTACGCTTACGTTCAAATCTTCCTCTTCACATATTAGAATAGATTAAAATATGAGAATTGTTATTGGTACTCTAAAAATTTTATTCTACACTTCAAACTTTTTATATTTTGAAAGAAAAATACACTTGTAAGGAGTATAGAATGAGATTTTTGGAGTGTTATTAACACTTTCCTAAAATATCACCTTATAGTGACAACAATGGATTAGCATGAAAACTCAGTTTTTTCTTAAGTTTACATTTTACAATTTGATCAATGGTAATGCTACTCACACATCTCTTTTTACTTTCTACAAACCGTTATTAATGTTGGTCAATTGATATTATTCAATTCATTTAATCCGACAGCTAAAAATTAAGATAAATGTGTAAGAAATAAAAATAGGTGTTTAGATAATCCACCCTTAAATCAAACGGAACACCAAAGTGAATGAACTAGGAGAAGGCTGTGTTCTGTTTTTACCGTCATTTTTGAATCCGGATTCTCTTTGTGAGGATCACAAGGGTTCGTGAATCGTGTTCGTTTATCGTACATCGTGCGGTCGAAAATTATTTTAAATATTTTTATCTAAAATTAAACATAAACAATACTTGACAAAAACTCGCACGATATATAATGAACGAACACGATTCATAAATCTCTAATATCCTTATCAAAAGAATCCGGAGAGCTGTTAGGTCATTTTCACCCCACAAGTGCAGCCAAAACAGAGAGACACGTGTGAAAAATTCTCTGAAAACTCAGACTTCTGATCGTTATTTTGACGCTGTGGACTTGGTTGTGCAACATCGCAGGCTTTTTCGGAGTTTTCACCGTACCCAAACTCTGCTCTTTGTATTCTGCCCAGATAACTGTCTACGGTAAATTTCTTTCAATACTCCAATTATTACCCTTGTGTTCCTTTTTGTCAACTTATTTTTACTCCATGCATATATTACTACGTCACGCACTTCTTCTACGATATTCGCACCGGCATTTTGATCCATCTCACATTGCATACACGCACATATTATGTCCAATAAATTTGTAGTAAACTTGGGACAAGTATGTAACCGGTTGTATATCCTTTTACGGCACGTCTAAAAATCTCCATCTATAAACTCACCTACCCTTTAAAATTGTAACGGATTTGTATCTGTTAGTTTGATGATGATGGTCCCCCACTCTCCCCAGCGTGGAATTGATTGGTCCCCACTCCCCCACGTTAATGAAAACGATATCCATTATGGTAAGGTCCCACACAATAGGTCTATGAATTAACATTATTGTAAGGTCCCATGAACGACTAAAAATTGAAGCAAATAATAGGCTTCAATCCTTATGGGCCCAACTGTGTTTGATTTATGTTCCAAGCCCAATGGGTCTGTTATAACTTTCGCTATATCTCTACTAATTAATAAAACACTCATTGTCAATCAAAATTTTATAAAATTACTAGTTTAATCCTCTAATTAAAACAGAACATGAATAAGAAATATGGGTTAGAAATGTAATTTCACACAACCAAATTTTGTTTTTTTTTTTTTTTCAAAGCCCTCACCTATATGTAATCATAACATATATCTAATTAAAAAAAAAAAAAAATCTTACCACTACACATTCTCTATCACTTTCTTCCTCTCTCCTTCTATTTCATAAACAAAAATAAAAATTTTATCACACACTTCGTGTGAGCCCATATGCTAGTTAATATTTAGATGAAGAAGTGATTTCCACACGTACTGACATACATATTTTTTCCATTGTAGTATCATAAATATGTTTCCAACTATAATTGTAAAGCATATGCGTGCTTGTTCCTTTTGACTCAAGTTTCGAATCTCCTTCTCTGAACGTATTTTCGGAAGATAACTATAATTTTAGAGAGCCTTCACAAGCTCAATATGTCGTAACAATGTATACTTTGGTATTGACGTTATCAGCTAAATTTTGGGTTCGGCGATTTCGGGATGCATGGGAGTCATGCACTCACAAGAAACCATTGACCATTGCCGTTTTTCTACTGGTTTGGAACCTCTCTTCTGTCGTCGCTCGAATTTGGGCAGGTATGTTAAACAAGTCCCAACGCTTCTACGCGTAGTGTCTATCATTTTTTCTAGTAATTGCAAAATCACAGTGGCTCTCCCTCTCCATTGTTTACGATATAATTATAAAACCGAGCAATGCTTTTGCAGCGTTTATATTGCTCGTGGCCTTCCGGTACTATCAGCAGAAATTGGTGGCGGAGGAGTGGGCGGAAGAATCAGATGATACCGCCGCAGGAGGAGGAGGAGCTCAGGAAACATGGGAACAAGAAGGAGGACAAAGACAAGGGCATGTGGATATTACCAAAGAAAAGAAAGGATTCTAGACTCTAGGGTTATACATATTATATACCATATCTTGTGCCCAAATCAAGTTTTTTAAGTCTGCTTTATTCTGGTTTACTGTAGATAGCTAAATATCTTTGATTAGGGACATTGTTTAATCCCAGTTTGTGACCAATAATTACTTCACTTAATGTACTTTGTAGCTCTTACGAATATATAAAGGAAAATAAATGAAAAGTTTGGTTTTCATCGACTACTCTTATCATCCATTGGTGTTATTGGTGGTGGACCTTGCGGTCGTCTCGTCATTAAGATTGCTAAATTTCTAAACACTCCTTATTTGTGTACTTTAGGGTTTTTTACTACTGGTTCATGGTTGGTGTGATAAGGGCTCGTGTTTAGAGTGTTCAAACGAGTAATCCTTTAAAAAATGGTCATGTGTGGATTTTGACAGATAAAAGGTAGAGATTGACGTAAAAGATGACATTGATGCAGGAGAATGGACATAATATTGATCGAATTAAAAAAATAAGGACGAAAATAATAAGTTCAGAGTATTACACGAGTCATTTGTGATAGAAATCCTATTTGATAGTGAAGATTATGTGTGCAAGTTGCAATTTGTGCATGTTGGAGCATAACTTGACCTTTACTTTGAAGGATATCTTAGTGTACGACCGTCGGATTACGTCAAGTGTCAAGTTGATGGCACGCCTCATCCCAATATTAGGAAGGAGGCCTGAACCCACTTACAAGTGTGTGTTTTAAATTTCACTAAATTAACCGATTTTTTTTATATTTTTAGCATATCCGTTAAATATCGATAAATTGTCATATAACATTCACTAAAGTTTTATTTTAGATTTTGAAATAAAAAAGGTTTCCTTTTACATGTTCATATTTTTAAACAAATTTCTAATATTTTCATCGAGAACAATCGATACCGATATAAAAGACACATCGAAAAGCACTAAAACAGATCGAGACGGGACCAAAAAAAGGAAGAACATTTGGACGGTGTTTTTTATTTTTAGTTCCCAAATGCGCGGCCCAAAATCCCGTAAAAAACAAGAAGCGCGAGCCTTAGGGCGGCGAACAGCAAAACCATTAACTTTTTTTTTTTTTTGTTTCGGAAACGCAAAACCAGTGTTCGGAAACGAAGAGAGAAACCCTAGAGAGCATCGTCAGTGTCAGTATGGGTTGACGACAACACAGATACAGTTGTCAGAGCCGGAAAGGACGAAGGAAGACGCAGAGGAGTGCTCGGAAATGAAGGATTCCCAGTCCCTCGCGTCGCGGAGAGGAATTTGAATGGGTTTCCAAGTCTGACTTCAATTTCTCCTATTGATCTCGACACTATCGGAAAATCAAGGTAACAGTTTCCGTGATCATTATTCCAGTTTGTTTTGCTGACGATTAAAGGAAAGGAGAGACGGAGGAGGAGGATATGGTGGCGCAAATACGGTCAAGGTTGCCACCTAAATCTTTGATGCGGTTCAAATGCGTCCGCCAGTTGTGGCGTGATCTGATTGATAGTCCTAGCTTTGTGGCCAGCCACCTCTCAAATTCGAATAATTCGAGTTCGTCCACCGCATTGCCGTCAGGCATTTTGTTGATGGCGAAGAGGATGATAACGAGGATGTTTTAGTGTCATTTCTTAATATTTGCAATGATCGTGTTAATGGCCGTGATGACTTTGTTAAGGTTGTTCACTGTGGGGATTTTTTTATTGGTTTTCGGCTGATCTACAAGATAACGGTACCATCTCTTCATTTGATATGAGTGATGAGGTATTTCATACTATACCAGTTCCATATAATTCCCATGAGAGAAGAGAATGGTGGAGCAGCCTTGCGGTATGGAATCAATCCATGATGCTGATTTCCTTTCACAGTGAAGAAGAAACTGGACTTTCGAATCTGAGCCAAGAATTGAGATTCCTCTGGAATTTTGTTTGAGTGATGAACTTTTTATGGTGGCCACTGATGGACATATTGTCTCCTATAATGTACGCACGCAAAAGCTCAAATACCGTCTTTGTGATGGAATTGAAGATAATCCATGAACTGAAGTTGTTTATGTCGAGAGCATTGTTTCTGTCAAGGGAGACAACAAGTTTAAGGGCACAGATCCGAACAGACTCTCTGCAAGGTATGCAATGCTTCCCCTTCCGTGGTTTTGCTTTTGTAACATAATTTGCATTCCAATTTCAATGTAGACACCTTTCTTTGTGAGGTGTTGTTTGTTCCCTTCAGATACACATGATTATAAGATAGTAATATGGAACAAATTTGCCTACCTTACAATTATTTGCAACTAGAGAGAGGTTCTCTACTTTAATCAATTACTAAGTTGTTTTTCACTTCAGGAGTGTGCTTCTCTCACATGAAACAAGGTTAATTAGGTTTTTTATTTTAATTCATTTACAGTTTTTTCAAGAGTAGATGCATGTGCATGCTCTTATGTTTTTCCCCATTTACTTAAATCTTTTAATTTTGGTTGCCATGTGATACTTATGTTAGGTCATGTTTAGAAGAGGCCAGTGCACAATGGGTGAACGAGCCTATGCTCTGAAAATGGTGTAGCTGCTTGATCTTAGGCAAGAGTACTTTGGTGATAAAGTGGTTTCATGTGATGATGGCATCCAAAAACATAAAATGGGTCTTTGTTTTGTGCTTGGACAAGAATATGTTGTCGATCCTTAATGATACAGAAAATGTAATTACTCGATTCCCTTGATGATACTGAAAATTAGAGGTGCTATAGTTTTAATATGTGTGAACAACACAGCTCTACTTTATTGGATTAAGGCTATATTTTATTACATGCACTTGAAGTTCACCCCAAACTCAGAATGAAGCTCATACCAGACCGAGTTCTGCTGCCCATGCTGTTTTGATTGTTGATGATACAAAAAATTTAAGTTTTTGATTCCCTTGGTGATACTGAAAATTAGAGGTGCTATGTTTTAATATGTGTAATGTAAGCAGTACAACTCTGGAACCAACATGTACTTTATTGGTTTTCTGGCTATAGTTCAATACATGTACTTTGACTTTGGTATTTATTAATTTTGTGTGGTACAGGTGGGTGCAAGTTCAGCCAAAACTCAAAATGAAGCTCCTGCTGGGCTGAGTTCCGCAGCCATGCTGAATCAGTAAGTGATGCTGTACATTTTCTCATTATTTCATTTATTGCATAATTACAACCCAGTTTAGACTGAGTGAGTGTTTTTGTTCATTTAGGGGAAGAGGTAAAGGAAGAGGTGGACCAATGGGCAGAGGAAAAGGGAGAGCCATGGCAAAGGCAATGAAACTCAATTTGCATCTTCTTCTCGAACACTAAGTGAGAGAATCGTACATGCAAAATTTACTTTGTTAACTTAAGGCTTAGTTTGACATTGTTGTTGTGGTTTATGTGCTAAAAGGAAGAGGAAGAGGCAGTCAAGCCATGTCATCATCAAGGCGAATGGAGTTCACGCATCAATCTGCTGTATTGCCATCATCTTCACAAACTGTGACAAGAGGAAGAGGTCAAGGCAGGGCCAATGTAGCAATGGCAACTTCACAAGACTTGCCCTTCCAACCATCAACTTCGGTCAATGCCAAGCCCAGGGGAAGATTAAAACTCTCCTTTTGGAAACCGTGAAGTATATAATCTACTGTTGGAGTTGTGCAACTGAAAGCAACCTGAAGAGAGTTCCTTGTAAGTAACTGTGTCCTTGTTGTGCATAGTTTGAATAGTTTACTCCTCTTTTCTAGTTTAGACCAGTTCCTCTCAAGCTTACTTCATCAGCAATCCTCCAGAGTAAATTGAGCCACCATTTAATAGGGTATATCATTGTCTCATAAATCATTAGGCCAAAATAGAAATATGATTTCTGACTAGGCTAGGTGGGGCAAATTTGATAGGTGATCATATGAACTTTTTATGTTGTCTCAAAGTTAGGATACCGAAGAGTGGCTACTTTGAGCTCGTATATATAGAATACGGTGCCAAATTTGCTCAATGACACAAACTCTTAATCTATTTCCATTACAGATTGCAGCTTCTGAATGAATAGAGCTGACCAATTATAAAGTCAAGAGCCCCAACTCTGACCATTATCAGCCTTGCAAGGCCTTAACAACAACATTCATCAAGTAGTTTTAATGAATCATGTTTGGAAACTGCACTCAGTGGGCTTTTGAATGGTAAGTTTATTGCTTAATTATTGGTAAGAAATAATTAAATGCATAGACTAATTATGGTTAGTCTTTTAAACATGTGGCACAATCTGGAGGGAGGTAAGGCCACACAAGGGTTAGGGGGGTGAGAAAAAATGCATAAACTAACTCTTGATTGACTGACTTAAATTCTGTAAATTAGGACATCTATGGTTCGTTTGGAAATGCTTCTCTAAGAAACAGTAAATTCTGTAAATTAGGACATCTATGGTTCGTTTGGAAATGCTTCTCTAAGAAACAGTTTTTCTGGAAGCTTTTTTAGTATATACATGTAGAAATGAAGAACAGTAAACTTATAATTATGCTGAACACTGGGCAAGCCAAATTTAAATAGTGTGTTGCTATTCCTACCTGATGTCATGTCCTCAACCACCATTAGGGAAAATCTTAACAACAAATTTATTCATTCATAAATGACCTTGATAACCTTTATTTATCGTAATCTAGCCGACTCTTTACTCCCACATAGGCCTAGTAAACCTATATTATTTTCGCTCCGTCTTCTTTAGTTGGATGTAGTGCTTGAAATATATCTTTTCAAGAGATCTTCTCTCGTTGCAGATTATTGATCACCCTGTTTTTTTTTTTTTCTTTACTTTCCATTGTTTCAATTAATCACAATTGACACTAACATAAAGCTTCACTTGAGTTTCGGTTTCGCTATACATAAAGAAGAGTAATTCGCCGATTTCCCCCCTTAACTTGTACCCCATTGCCAATACTACCCATAAAGTTTTATCGTGCCAGTTTCTTCCCTAAAATACTGTGAATGACCAATTTCTCCCTATCTTCAAATTTATCCAAATTGCATCCAAAAAGTAGCATGTTGGTCATTAAATCTTCTATTATGTTTGTTATATTTTCTTTCTTAATGTTGTTGTTATTATTTTTGAAATGTGACATTTTCAATAGAAGGTTAGATGAAATGCGTAGAAACATGGCCGTCTGGGGAAATTGGCCATTTATATTAATTATTGGGAAATCGTCAAAATACTCTCGATTTAGGGAAATGATATCCGCACATCCCATTCCTCCGCCTGCAGATCCCTGTTTATTTATGTTCCTTGATTCTCCTTTTGATTTATTTAGTATAATATCCACAAATAAATGGGGTGTTAAAAAAAATGGTGTGCAGAAATCATGTCCTATATTCATATGGATTATTGTTCACTTCTTTCTTGATATAAATTGTAACGTAAAGTTTGTTCTCGAGACAGATAATAAATGGCATCCACATTTGGAACAATTTTTTTTTTTTCCTTTTTAGCTTATAAAGTCCAAGGTCCCCCGAACCATTCCATCATCGAACAGCAGCAAAAGAAGAAGAACAAACCCTAGAGAGAAATATCAGTATGATTGAGCATTGACTATAACAGAGAGACTAGTCAGAGCCAAGCGGAAGGAAGAAGCAACAAGTGTTTGGAAACGAAGGAATCTCAGTCGCTCCAAAGAGGAATTTGAGTGGATTTTGAAGTTTAATCAATTTGTCCTCTTGGACTCGGCACAATTGGAAATCCAAGGTAAGATTTCCCTTGATCTTGCTCCATCATTGTTCCGCCTTATTTAATTTGCTGAAAAGCATAAAAGGAAAAGTAAAGGAGGAGAAATTAATTATTAATTAATTAATTAATTAATTAGTTCATGGCAAAGTCAAGTAATTTGACGGATGATATGGTGGTGCAAATCCTGTCTCGATTGCCACCTAAATCTTTGATGCGATTGAAATGTGTCCGCAAGCTGTGGCGTGATCTAATTGATAGTCCTAGCTTTGTGGCGAGTCACCTTTCTAACTCGAATTTGAAATCGAAATCAGATTCCTCCACCAGCATTGTTGTAAAACATACTGTTAAAAATGTTGAGGATGATAGAAAGCACATTTTATTGTCATTGCTTAATGTTTGCAAGGATGTTAGTGATGGTGATGATCGTGTTGAGGATCTTGGTGTTGTGTATCCTTTGCTGAGTATATCTTCCCCTAATTTTGAAATTGCGGGTTATTGTGATGGGATTTTTTGTCTAAGTCTTCACTTTTGTCCCGAGGATATTGCTTTAGTCAATCCAGCTATCATGGAATTTCAGTTTCTTCCCAAGTCTGGTCTTCTCCTCCCTCCCCCACAACCAGATGTTGCTGATAGAGTGGATACCATTACCAATGCTATCGGATTGGGTATGATTCCAAAGCTGAAACATACAAGGTGGTTAGAATTGTGAAATTTTTGCCAGGGCCTAGAAAAGCAGAGGTATACACTTTAGGTGCTGATTCTTGGAGAGAGGTCAAGTTTGAAATCGATTGTTCTGTCATCTGGACACCTTCTTTTTATTTCTACTTCAAGGGGGTTTTTTATTGGTTTGCTACTGATCTCCATAATAACGATTTCATCCTTACATTTGATATGGGTGAGGACGTATTTCATAATATACCAGTTCCGTATGATTCCCTGGAGAGATTTGCATGGAATTGCAGCATTGCAGTATGGAATGAATCCATTGCTTTGTTTTGCTACTGCAAAGATGAAGGAACTGGACTTTCTATCTTTGATATATGGGAGATGGATGATTCTACTGATGAGGTAAAAAGTCTGTGGAGTAAGAAACGCTTAACAATCGAATCTGTACCAAGTATAGAGATTCCATTGGTATTTTGGAAGAATGACGAGCTTCTTCTGACGGCCACTGACGGACGTGTTGTCTCCTATAACATACGCACTCAAAAGCTCAAAGACCTTCCTATTCATGGCCTTGAAAATCCACTATATATTCAAGCTGTTCTTTATGCAGAAAGCCTTGTTTCTGTCAGGGGAGGCAATCAGCCTCTGGCTATAGACCCAAACAGATACACTGGAAGGTACGTAATGTTTTTCCTTCGCGTGTTTTTGCTTTTATACATTAATTAGTGTTTAAATTTTGATGTTATATACCCATCTTTGGGAGGTGTTGTTTGTTCCCTCCAGTCTCTTCATGATTGTAACAAAATCAGATGTTCCTGTTGGAATTTTGCAAACTAGGTTCTGTACTTTTAATTTTTCTGTTCTTTCCAGTAACATGCTTCTGACGGAAAACAAGATTGTTTAGGTTTTCGTTCATTCTGATTCACTTACCTTATTTTGTATACATTCATGTGCGTGCTCTTATGTTTTTTTCCCAATTACTTAAATCCAGTGTATCGTTCGAGTTGTACTTTTACCCGAGGCATGTATGAGTTTATGCACTGGAAATTCATGGCTAGGCTGCTGGATCTCAGGAAAGAGTACAGTTGGGATATCGCGTGAGGAAAATGTATGTACTTGTTTCTCTTGTTCTACTTGAATTTCGTTGTTGTGGTGGTGTATTTTGAAATGTTAATTAGGCTAAAGTCGAAAAGACATTGCTGACTTTGGTTGTTGATGTTTTCTTCTCTATCTTATGAACTTTCGTTATCGTCTTAAAATTTAGGTTTACCTTTCGAACTTCAATGTATGGAATTTGGTTTTCTGTTTTAATGGAGCGAACGCTATTTTGTTTACAGATTACATTGCAGGTCCTGTATTTTATTTTATTTGTTCAAAGAATTATGCTTTGAAACTCTACCAAGTGGGCTTATGAATGAATACTGATGGACCAATTATAAAATCTAGAGGCCCAGCTCCGATCATCATCATTTTTGTCAGGCCTTAACCGCAACGGTCTTGTTACATGTTATGCCCAAACTTTTGAACTGACCGGCTTAATCCCATAATACTTGGGTTGGCTAATCGGAATCTGTTTGTGTCCAGTCTAATTTCAAACCCGATTGAGCGCGTTAGAATGAAGAAAATATTTGCCCAAATTTAACCCGACCTCAACCCGATCGTTTATTGGGTTGGGTTGGGTTGATGCATTTCCGGTCCATGTCAACCCAAATTTAACTCCATTTTAAGCCCAAATTCGCTCATGCACATATTATTTATCCCATTCATGTTATTTGAGTTTCGATAAGTTTTTGAATGACTATATTTGAAGTTTATTGGCAGTTTTCATATGAATAATGAATGATAGTGTTACTTTTACATTTCTTTTGGTTGAAGCTTTTGGTATACGTCTTGTAATTTAATTTCAACTTTGCATGGTTTAATCATGGGAACTTTAACGAAAAGCTCTCGGTACTCTTCACTTTAACGAAAAACCACATTTTTACACTAAAAAGTCAATCATGGTACTATTCAGTTTACCCTTTATTTTGTCCTTATCGATAAAACTCAAAGTTTGGTTTTCCTTTTAATCATTAGGCCAAGTTGTCTTCTTTAATTTTTGTTTGGATGGTGATGTATAAATGGAATTTTAACTAATATTGGAGTTGTTTGGTTCAAAATTTAAAAAATCATAAAAAATACAATTTTATAAGATTGAACTCGATAAGTTGGGTGTATAGTGTAACCGAACCTAACTCGAGTAAGTCCGAACTCCATTAACACTTGAACCCAACTAAACCTCCATGAACCTGAACTCAACCCAAGCCCGAATCATGAAGGTTGGGTTAGGGTTTGGTTCACCATCCAACCGTCTAATTCGTCCGAGTTGCACGCCTAACTTAAGCTAGGACATTTACGACCTTCAAATTTCTCTATAGAAAGTAGTTTTCAAGAAATTGCTTTCATTTGAAGCACGTTAAATTGATGAGTGAGATATGCTTTATTATTTGGTTAGGAGTTCAGCAGCTCGTCGAAAGAGTCTCCGGAGGCGAAGATAGGTTGTCAAGAACATAAAGAGGTCGGGTAGTTAGTTGGTCAGGTCTAGTGTGGATCTCACATGACAGTAGTTGGAACTGACAACTCTTTTAGAGTTCCCTCATTTGGAATCTCTAGGTAAAAGAATCAAGTTGGCTCTTGTGAACAACTTGATGCACTTTCTTCCTTCAACATTTTGAGCTAAATCATTTCCACTTTTAGAGATCACCCCAAAAGTTCAAGTAGTTCTTGAAAAAAAAAAAACACTTACAATGAAAGAAAGCACTGTGTTTCGTTTTTTTAACTAGAAGCACTCTTAGCTAAAAAAAAATTCACCGAAAACAAAAACATCATCAAAAGCGTTTTTAATTATCTTAAAATGCTCCTAAACTACTCTAAAAGTACTACAGTATGACCGAGAGAAAACGACTCATCATCCAAAAATGAATGGAGTGGAAGATGGTACTTAATGGATTGTTAATTTATTAAACATGTTCTAGAGTTAGGCAGGTGGATATATTCCTTACCAATCCTCCATTTGTCATCTTATGATTAAGCCTATTATATATAATGACACTCATTGATGTATCTAACATTTCCATAATCTCAAAAAAGGACGAGACTGACGATGATTAAAGCACATTGCCAAGACTGGTAGTTTTTTATAGATTTGGATCCTCTCCTGTGCCCAAGGAGAGGATCCTTTTGATCAAGAACTGTGGATCGTTAGATTTTCATCTAACGATTATAATTATTATAATTTTAAAAGGATATCTTGTTTGTAACCGTTGGATGAAAATTCAATGGTCTACAGTCCTTGATCAGGAGGATCCTCTCCTTCGGATCAGGAGAGGATCCAAATCCGTTTTTATTGAGCATCATATACCACGTGTCACATTTAGATATAGCTTGTCAATTAATTAGGTTAATATAGCACAGAGAGGGACTGACTTTCGTTAGCTTCTTAAGATTTATGGATGAAACTTCAAGCGTAAATATTATGCATCTGCTAGTATTTTTATTGTTTTCGTTTTCATTTTTAAGCGTAAATATTCAATAATATTTACTTTTTAAATTCAATAAATAGTTAGGCCGCTTTTAAGATGGCTTCTATATTCCTTATCTCGTACACAGAAGATGATATTATAACTAAAAACCCTCATTTTCACAAAATATTGTGAGTAAACTCTTGTTAATCAGTTCTGAAAATTTCTTACATGAGTCATCATAAAACATATTTTGGCGGAAATTTAGCCGCACCAACCACCAAACTTCTTCGAAGTTCATGAAGGAAATTTATAGGATGTCCTGATGGATGAAACTCTATTCTAGTTATTTCGATCTCGCTTGTATTTTCATGGGTTTTGTTAGTTTTTTTTCTAGCTTAAAAGATTCCATAACTAAATATTAATCCATAATATAATTGAACAAAAATGGAATTGACATCAATGGCGTGTCACGCTAATGAGCCCTTACCAGTCCAATCTAACATTAGAGACGTGGCAATGACCCTGATAATTATTGTTAATTGCTATTTAACTAAATAATTTACTTAATGATCGTGATGTATATACACATGTCAGTCATTTCACGTGTATACGCATGCCATTCATTTCAAGATCATTTCAAGTTTGAAATCAGTTGAGGTGGTACTAAATAATTTAAACAATGATAATATGTATATGCATGTCAATCGTTTCAACATCATTTTAAATTTGAAATTAGTCGAAAGGGTACTATATAATTTTATCATCAATACAATCTGTGAGAACCTCAGTTGCATTATTGGTCTTTTTTTTTCTTGGTTGAGGAAACCCTATTTGGAAAATTGAGTGGCCAATTTCTTTTAATAGCTTGTCTTCACAACAGTGAATACTTGGATGTTGGAACAATGAGGAGGATAAGGTCGTAATAACACCATGCATGCATATGACAGACAAATTTTCTCCTTCCACAGTTTCCACTTGTGATACAGAACTTTCATGACCAAGTGATTTAATTTTGTTTTCAACAAAAATAATACACGTCCATGGATGGTTAGTAATTATTGTAGCTTTCCGTTTCACCTAAAGTCACCCCGTCATCAAACATAAATTGATCATCTAACATGCAAAACCCTAATTGTTTTTAGGAAATAATGTCTTTATCGTCAGAAGGAGGATATAATGTCATATTCATCACAAAGGACCAAAGCTAGCCTACAAATTTTATATTCTCTATTGACATGTTCAATAATTTGCAAAATACGGTGATTGATACATTTCGTATTTGAGGTTATATATCTGTGATGTGTATATGTTTAAGTATGTCAAGAGGAGAGAGACAAATTGTATCCATAGATTTGTGGACGATACTCTCTTATTTCCGTATGAGGGCCACTCTCTTATTTCCCTATGAGGGCCACCCATTGAGTTATACAAGGTTTGATAGGTCGATCGATTAAGACTAATTATGTAGGTTAATTATAACACCCTAAGATCGCAAGCCACTTCGTTGCCTTGTAAATGATACTACGCACCCTAATCGATCAATTAAATCATTTATAAAATTTGTTCGCATTATAATGTCACTGTATATACCAAGTGGCACTACAAGATACGTAAGTAGTAGGGGCAACAAAATTTGCATCTAAAAGTCTTTATTAGAGGCAAATATCTTGAAAAACCGCCCCTAAGACCATCTCCAACCCTTGGGCTAAAAGCCAAATTTTTTAGCCCGGAAAATTTAGCTTTTAGCCCAAAAACAGTTTTTCTGCTCCAACCCTTTTGGCCTAAAATTTTATAAACATTTTAATCTAAAAATATTTACATTCCGATAAATATTGAAAAATCACTAAATTTTCTACAAAGTAAGCCTTCAACTTTCACCAATCATTCAACTTTCACCAAACTTTCAATTTACCAACCATTCAACACCAAACTTTCAATTTTCACCAACCGTTCAACACCAAACTTTTAACTTTCACCAACCGTTCAACTTTCATCAATCATCCTCTATATAAACACATGTCTAATATTAGTTGATCACACAACCTTTCAACCTTCAATCATCCTCTATATTCACCAAGCTTTCAACTTTCAAAGAGTTTTTGTTTCCTAAAAATCCTTAATATCTCATCAATGGGTGATAGATGAAGGCTTAGCATGGCAATGTAGATGGCATAATACCAAGCAAGGATTGAGATTGAGGATGCAGAATTGATCAACGCCAACGCGGAACTTGTAAACTCGTTTATGCAATATGAGCACCATGGCGAATCTAGCTATCGTGGTTCTGTCATAGGGCGTTCATTTGTGCAGCGTGATAGAGAAGAGTGTCATGACCAAATGATGAAAGATAATTTCATTGAGTGTTTGAGATTTCCTGCTCATGATTTTCGGAGGCGGTTTCGGATGAGGAGAGAGCTTTTTGAAAGCATCTTGAACGTAGTTGTCAATCACAACCCCTACTTTGCAAGGAAGATAGATGTCACAAGCCGACAAAGTTTATCACCTCATCAGAAGCTCACATCTGCTTTTCGCATGCTAGCTAATGGGTGCTCTACAGACTCAACTAACGAGTATTGCCGACTTGCAGGGATTACTGCTATTAAGAACCTGAAGCGATTCTGTCAGGCAATTCAAGCCATATATGGAGCCACATACCTTCACAAGCCAAATTGTGAAGACTTGAAAATGCTTCTATGGAAGGCAGACAGACAAAGAGGCTTCCCTGGCATGATAGGAAGTCTCGATTGAAAAAAACATACCAAATATGTATTAAGAAGATATATTAAGTAACGTATCAAATATGTACCAAGAAGAAATCTACGTTTCATGTGTA